ATATTACTTTATCCTAAATGGTGACAAACTTGTTGCCAAATCAAAAACATTGCTTTCCAAAAGGGCTATACAGATATTAGAAGTGGTTAAAAGCACATGAGTCCTCTACTTCTGCTTATGTTTATGTGTGTGAAACTGCATTTGGAGATTAGTGGTTATCTGCAAAATATTATCTGCATCATCTCATTCTTATGAAATGTGCTGATGGATCTCATAATTCAAACTGTGTGCAACTAACTTTATTTTAACCCTAACCTGTGCTTTTACCATACTCACTCTCTTGCTTTACATATTCACTGGGGGTGAAATTAAATACCTTTTACTTCCAGTTATGGGGAGAATGTAACCTTACAACACTGGCACTTGGTGATTGGCTATTTGGACATCCAGCTCTATCAGAAATCAAAGCTTATACAGGGCTTGCTCTCTTTGCTTTTAGCAGCTGAATGGAGATTTTGAAAACTGAGGAGGGGGCAATGAAGTGAACCTGTTTCTTTGCTCTGCATATGCAAAGCACAGGTTCGCTGTAAGTTGGAGCCTTCTGCCTGATGATAAAATATATTTCACTGTAAATCTCTGATAGTATATAATTTTCCATATTTTATGATGGATGTACGCTATTCTCTAGTTATTACATATACAGTTGTGGGAAATAGGGATGTGCAGGGGCATTCCCAAACTATTTGTGACGTGCAGCTGTGGGGCAGTCACCACGACTGATTCGGAGTGGGAGTGCCCTTAACAGTTTTAAATGGGCTTGGGCAAATTCCAGCAAACTGGATTTGTAACAGGGCCCCCTGCGCACCGATGCACTATAAAATCTTGTGAGAAAACTCCCAGAGGAGTGGAGTCTGCATGGTTGCTAGGAAGAGGGTCAATTCCATACTGATGCTCATGAGATGTTCAGCACGCTTATATAATTGTGAATTTTAGATGTAGAAAGACTTGGCCATGTAGTGTAACTATAAACAGTCTTATTTTAACAAACCCACACATAGTTACATAGTATTTCAGGTTGAATAAAGACATAAGTCCATCAAGTCCAACCTATTGTGTGTATGCATTTATGAGCTGGTGTCTGCGTGTATATGAGTCCATGTGTGATTTTCCTCTTGGCTATACCTGTACCCCTGAATGTTATGGTCTCCCAGGAACTCGTCCAGGAGTCTCTTGAATAATTCCACACTCTTAGCTGAAATCACTTACTGTGGCAGCGAGTTCCAGACCTTAACCACTCTGTGAAGAACCCCTTGCGCCCTGTGTGGAGAAATTTTTTTTCCACCAGTTTTTGGTTGTGCCCTCTGGTCTTTGTTACAGAGCTGACCGTAAACAGTTTGTTACTGAGGTTGCTGTCACCCTTGAATAGTTTATACATAAAAATCATGTCCCCCCTTAATCTCCTAACCTCCAATGAGAACATATTTAATTTTAACAACCTTGTTTCATAGTTGAGATCCTCGAACCCCTTAATGAGTTTGGTTGCCCTCTTCTGGACTTTTTCCAGCTCAAGGACATCCTTTCTGAGTATTGGTGACCAAAACTGGACCGCATACTCCAGATTTGGCCGAAGTGGCAAAATTTATAGACTTGTCCCTGCAATACATTCCCTTCTTAATTCAAGACAGGACTCTGCTTGCTTTGTTTACAGCAGTCTGGCACTGGAAGCTATTCTTCATTCTGCGATCTATAATGACCCCCCAATCCTTCTCAGTGTCCGACTTCCCTAGTTGCATACCCATAAGTGTATAGTCCATCTGCCTATTTTTAGCTCCAAGGTGCATTACCGTACATTTATCGACATTGAACTTCATCTGCCATACAGTTGCCCACTCCCCGATTTTTCTTCAGGTCCTCCTGTAATGTTATAATGTCTAAATCTGTGTCTACTACCCTCCCAATTTTCGTATCATCATCAAACACTGAGATATGACTTCTCACTCCCTCCCCTATATCATTAATAAATAGGTTAAAAAGCATGGGGCTCAGCACCGAACCCTGGGGTACGCCACTCGTGACCTCCGCCCAGTCTGAGAAGGTGCCATTAACTGATACTCTTTGTACACGTTCCTTCAGCCAGTTTTCTATCCACGTGCGCACTAATTCGTCTATGCCCATACCTCTTAGCTTGTATAGCAAGCGTTTATGTGGCACAGTATCAAATGCTTTGGCAAAGTCCAGGTACACTACGTCCATTGGCCTCCCCCCATCTAGATCTCTACTTACCTCTTTGTAAAAGGTCAGCAGGTTGGATTCAGGTTGAATAAAGACATAAGTCCATCAAGTCCAACCTATTGTGTGTATGCATTTATGAGCTGGTGTCTGCGTGTATATGAGTCCATGTGTGATTTTCCTCTTGGCTATACCTGTACCCCTGAATGTTATGGTCTCCCAGGAACTCGTCCAGGAGTCTCTTGAATGATTCCACACTCTTAGCTGAAATCACTTCCTGTGGCAGCGAGTTCCAGACCTTAACCGCTCTAACTGTGAAGAACCCCCTGCGCCCTGTGTGGTGAAATTTGTTTTCCACCAATTTTTGGTTGTGCCCTCTGGTCTTTGTTACAGAGCTGACCGTAAACAGTTTGTTACTGAGGTTGCTGTCACCCTTGAATAGTTTATACATAAAAATCATGTCCCCCCTTAATCTCCTAACCTCCAATGAGAACATATTTAATTTTAACAACCTTGTTTCATAGTTGAGATCCTCGAACCCCTTAATGAGTTTGGTTGCCCTCTTCTGGACTTTTTCCAGCTCAAGGACATCCTTTCTGAGTATTGGTGACCAAAACTGGACCGCATACTCCAGATTTGGCCGAAGTGGCAAAATTTATAGACTTGTCCCTGCAATACATTCCCTTCTTAATTCAAGACAGGACTCTGCTTGCTTTGTTTACAGCAGTCTGGCACTGGAAGCTATTCTTCATTCTGCGATCTATAATGACCCCCCAATCCTTCTCAGTGTCCGACTTCCCTAGTTGCATACCCATAAGTGTATAGTCCATCTGCCTATTTTTAGCTCCAAGGTGCATTACCGTACATTTATCGACATTGAACTTCATCTGCCATACAGTTGCCCACTCCCCGATTTTTCTTCAGGTCCTCCTGTAATGTTATAATGTCTAAATCTGTGTCTACTACCCTCCCAATTTTCGTATCATCATCAAACACTGAGATATGACTTCTCACTCCCTCCCCTATATCATTAATAAATAGGTTAAAAAGCATGGGGCTCAGCACCGAACCCTGGGGTACGCCACTCGTGACCTCCGCCCAGTCTGAGAAGGTGCCATTAACTGATACTCTTTGTACACGTTCCTTCAGCCAGTTTTCTATCCACGTGCGCACTAATTCGTCTATGCCCATACCTCTTAGCTTGTATAGCAAGCGTTTATGTGGCACAGTATCAAATGCTTTGGCAAAGTCCAGGTACACTACGTCCATTGGCCTCCCCCCATCTAGATCTCTACTTACCTCTTTGTAAAAGGTCAGCAGGTTGGTCTGGCAAGAACGATCCTTCCTAAATCCGTGCTGCACATCACTTATTATACTATGATCCCGGACGAATTCCACTAAGTAGTCCTTAATAATTCCCTCTAACAGTTTACATACTATGCATGTTAGACTAACTGGTCTATAGTTCTCCGGTTGGCATTTTGACCCTTTTTTGAATATAGGTACCACATTAGCCCTTCACCAGTCTCCTGGCTCTCTACCAGCGATTACGGATTCCTTAAAAATGAGGAACAATGGTCTTGTTATCTCCTTGTTCAATTCTTTAAGTACCTTGGGATGTAGATTATCAGGTCCTAATGCTTTATTTCCATTTAGTAGTTTAAGCCTATGTTGTATCCCCGATTCAGTCAACCATTCCGGTGTATTTCCTGTCAAATTATGTGTTTTAGCCTGTACATTAAACCAGTCTGTTTCCTTGGTGAATACTGACGAGAAGAAAGTATTTAGCGCCTCGGCCCTCTCCCTGTCGCTTGTGAGTAGCGACCCATTTATGTCCTTTATTGGGCCTATCTGTTCCTTTCTCCCCTTTTTACTGTTTATGTACTGAAAAAAATAATTTGGGGTTCTTTTTTGCTAACTTCGCAATATATTTTTCACATTCAATTTTAGCTGCCCGCTCTGCCAGTTTACATATTTTATTAAATTCTTTGTAGTTTTGGAATGCCGATACTGTCCCCTCCGTTTTATACTTACTAAATGCTATTTTTTTTCTTTAATGTATTTCTTTACCGTTTACTTAGCCATATTGGCTTAGTTTTTGATCTTTTACTTTTGTTTCCCAGCGGTATACACCTGGTTATAGCATTTTTTAATTTGTTCTTGAAACAGTCCCACTTCTGGTCCAAGTTTAGTTTATTAAATAAGTCATCCCAATCGATTTCACCCATTATAATACGCAGTTTATCAAAGCAATCACCTTGTGATCACTATTGCCCAGTGTCTCCCCGATTACAACATCCTCATTTAGCTTCGTATTGTTGGTATGATCAGATCTAGGATTGCATTTTCCCTGGTCGGGACCTCAACCATCTGATCCATGAAATTGTCTCGCAACATATTAAGAAAACGGGCTGCCTTAGCCGGTTTTGGAAGTTCCATGTGCCCAGTTGATATTTGGGTAATTGAAGTCTCCCATTACCACAACATTACCCTCTTTCCCCGCTATTTCTATTTGCGATTTGTAGGTGGGCCTCCCCCTCCTCCCCCATATTTGGAGGTTTATAACAGACACCCGTTACTTTCCCATGTCCTTATTTAGCAAATGGTTTAAATTAATTAATACTAAGGCTAAGTGAACATTTAGATTAAAAAGTCTGTTGAAAAAGTGGTCACTAGAGTCAGGTCTCTCAGTCATTAAGTTGAGGGTTTTAATCGCTTCAGATGTGGGTTTGATCTGCAATGTAGCCTGATCTAAGTGCATATTGTATATATGACCTACTGCAGTATTATATTTGTTTTACGTGTTCTCTTTTTTTTTTTTTTTACCACAGAGCAGAAGAAATAGCAAATGCCCTGGATCAAAAACACTATGTGGAAGAATTAAACAGACACTTAAGGTAGGAATTTTAGTTGCTACTCATTCGGGTTAACGGTTACCTCATATTTCTGTGGTGAAAAGAAAATTATCTATGGTGGCATAGATTTTCAAAAGATTTAGATTGCAAGCAGTACTGAGGCAAATAAATGACCGACAAAATAAAAAGATTTGTGGCTGATGACCTGTAATTCTTTGCATTTCAGCTGTACAGTTGCAGACCTTCAGTCAAAGACTGAGATACTGGAGAAGACAAATGCCAAGATAACTGAGGAGGTTGGTAAATTGTTTCTCAGGTTAATTCTGCAGTGGAATTATTGTGTAAATGGGTTTAGCCTATAATGTATAGTTTGAAACAAGAAACAGCAAACTATGTACATTCTATTATCTAATAGATTATATTAATCTATTATCTAATCATAGTTTAACCTCCATATACAGTTGTAAAAGTGTTGGCCCCCTTCCTGATTTTTCATTGTTTTGCACGTTTGTCACACTATAATGTTTCAGATCATCAGACAATTTTAAATATTAGTCAACGATAACACAAGTAAACACAACATGCAGTTTTTAAAGGAAAGTTTTTATTATTAAGGGAAAACAAAATCCAAACCCACATGGCCCCGTGTGAAAAATGGTTTGCCCCCCCCCCTGTTAAAACATAACTTAACTCTGGTTTATTACACCTGAGTTCAATTTCTCTAGCCACACCCAGACCTGATCCTGCCACACCTGTTCGCAATCAAGAAATCACTTAAATAAGACTTGACTGACAAAGTGAAGTAGACCAAAAGATCCTCAAAAGCTACACATCATGCCGAGATCCAAAGAAATCCAGGAACAAATGAGAAAGAAAGTAATTGAGATCTATCAGTCTGGAAAAGGGTATAAAGCCATTTCTAAAGCTTTGGTTCTCCAGGGAACCACAGTGAGAGCCATTATCCACAAATGGCGGAAACCTGGAAAAGTGGTGAACCTTCCCAGGAGTGGGCGGCCAACCAAAATTACCCCAAGAACGCAGCGATGACTCATCCAAGAGGTCACAAAAGACCCCACAACAACATCCACAGAACTTGCCTCAGTTCAGGTCAGTGTTCATGACTCCACCATAAGAAAGAGACTGGGCAAAAATGGCCTGCATGGCAGAGTTCCAAGACGAAAACTACTGCTGAGCAAAAAGAACATAAAAGCTTGTCTCTGTTATGCCAGAAAACATCTTGATGATCCCCAAGACTTTTGGGAAAATACTCTGTGGACTGACGAGACAAAAGTTGAACTTTTTGGAAGGTGTGTGTCCCATTACATCTGGCGTAAGAGTAACACCGCATTTCAGAAAAAGAACATCATACCAACAGTAAAATATGGTGGTGGTAGTGTGATGGTCTGGGGCTGTTTTGCTGCTTCAGGACCTGGGAGACTTGCTGTGATAAACGGAACCTGCTGTCTACCAAGAAATCCTGAAGGATAATGTGCGGCCATCTGTTCGTGACCTCAAGCTGAAGCGAACTTGGGTTCTGCAGCAGGACAATGATCCAAAACACACCAGCAAGTCCACCTCTGAATGGCTGAAGAAAAACAAAATGAAGACTTTGGAGTGGCCTAGTCAAAGTCCTAACCTGAATCCTATTGAGATGCTATGGCATGACCTTAAAAAGGCGGTTCATGCTCGAAAACCTTCCAATGTGGCTGAATTACACAATTCTGCAAAGATGTGTGGACCAAAATTCCTGCACAGCGCTGTAACAGACTCATTGCAAGTTATCGCAAACGGTTGATTGCAGTTCTTGCTGCTAAGGGTGGCCCCCTATTAGGTTTAGGGGACAAACACTTTTTCACACAGGGCCATATGGGTTTGGATTTTGTTTTCCCTTAATAATAAAAACCTTCCTTTTAAAAACTGCATGTTGTGTTTACCTGTGTTATCTTTGACTAATATTTAAATTTGTTTGATGATCAGAAACATTAGTGTGTGACAAACGTGCAAAACAAAGAAAAATCAGGAAGGGGGCCAACACTTTTTCACACAACTGTATCTAAAAAAAACATACTTAGGTTATGATTTGTGCATGTGGATGTACTGCGCAGGTGCAGCCAGGAGAGATGTTTGAGGCAGGATGTAAGCAAACAATGGAGGCCTGGCCCTTCGGAACTTAGTAAGTATGCACCCGTGCAGGGGGATGGTAGAATTGGTTTGGTCAGCTTAAAGGTGTCAAAAGGATAATCTTGTTGTGGTTCTGTCACATTGCCCATAATATAAAGTAAATAAAACAGGAAAATTTGGAATGCCACATAATAACCACAGCAGGTGTGCAGGCCCAGTAACTCTAGTGCAGTCATCATACTACTAGAAAATTATGGTACAGGGCTTTAGTCCAACTCAGCAACCATTAGCCATTAGTATAATTTAAACGCTTTTGTGCTTTATTTAATTTACCAAATGCAATACAAACAATCCAGATGTCTTATATAGAGAGCCATGCATGCTTATTTGTTATTATATCTTGCTCTATTAGCATACATTTACAAAAATGTTTGACAATTATCAGTAATTACTCCCATGCAATATGATGGCATTTCAATCAATGCATTATTTTTGTTGTACAACGTATTAATAGTCCAAATTTTTAGTTTTATCAAAGGCTTATCAAAAGAAACCACAGCTGTACTTATATTAAGAGTATATTTATTTGTTTTCAGTCTCCTTATGCATACACGCTATAGATTGCACATGCATACACGCTATAGGTTGGACTTGATCGACACATGTCTTTTTTCAGCCTCAAATACTATGGAACATATCTATCCAGTTACATTTCCATTTGCACTGGATCAGTTTGCCACATCCAAAGTCTACATGTTTCCAACCATGCTGAGAAATGCACACATAGCTGTGATATCTTAGGTTATCATTAAAGCAGAACAAAGTTGTTGTTTTTCTTTGCAAAAACTCTAAAGTTAAAGTGCTCCTATGCCCAGAAAGTGTGTTGTTAACACATTGTTAACAAGCAGTAAAAGAGCTTTAAAACGTTAGAGATACCTAACATCTTTAGCTGCTTGTACTGTTAATTAATTTAGTATTTAATTCTCTGAGGTTCATTTCTCCACAATCTATATAGCTATAGAGGTGAATGAGGACTTGTTTTAAAGTTACTTTACTGCTTGCATACTTTTAAATCTATGTTATCTTTTGCTATCTGAATTTCATATTATTCGTATGCCATTTTGCTAAGTCAGTTCTCAAGCATTCGTGGGCGGTGATGAAGGGGTGCTACCATCTGAGGGAAGTGGATGTAATCACTCCCTCACTGGAACTGAGTCTGTAATAGGGCAGTTCTATCCCCACTCAAACATCCCTAGCTCATTCTCTTTCTTTAAGCCATTTATTACTTGATTTAAAAGATGCATCTGTCAACAAATGCCAAGGGAGAACACCAGATAGGACGGGGGAGCCACACTGTTCGTTGCAGTGATGGTCTCTCTCCATTATGCAAATATAGGAGCATAATGACATAATTGAGGGAGGTGTGGAAAGCTTGTGACCTCTGGGATGTGAAGCTTGCAGAGCTGATGCAAATACATAGTAGTCATACTCCTGCAATATGCCTGCACAGCAGCTGCAAGGCCTTTTGAAAAAGCAACAGTTGCAAGTATGTATATGTGCACTATTTTTTTACTTGCAATTTCAGAGTGTTTTCATAATTCAATATACAATCATTTTGTATGGGTTGTGAGATGTTGAAAAGAGAGCAGGGTTATTCTTGTTTCATAGTGAATTACAATTTGACAGTGGCGCTCGTTCTGCTGACATTACCTTGTCAGCCCCGATTGGTTTTCTATCCCCCTGATTGGACAGAGAGCCAATGACATACAGAGGGTGGAGCCTACTGTGTACCGATTCCGATTGGTCAACTCCTCTGTTCCAGCCCATTTGAGCTCCCATGGGCGTGGACCATTACACTGTCCGCACTCGCATAGAAATTTACGAGCCGCTGGTGGCTCGGTCTGATTGGACCTTATCCCCTGTATAATCAATGGAGAGGAGGGTAGAGTTATGTTCTGACGAAGGGGGCGTGCATCGGAAATGCGTCAACACAGATATCTTTGGAACTGCGTTGCTGACTTCCACTTGCCTCATTCTGGTTTACAGTTTTAAGGCTTTTATCTTGTTATGCTTGTGAGTACCTCTCTTCATTGTTTACTTATATTTGAATAAAACTCATCTGCACCAGGAGAGGCGCCCCCTTTTTGTGCTTTTTTTCAGATACTATAGTCACCTTGGCTGAAGTGGGGAAGCATCCTGCAGTATGCACATATATATATACTCCTTTGAGGAGTGACTGTCATTGGTGCTTTTTGTTCTAAGTTGAATTACAATTTGGTTTAATGCTAACTCCGAGGTACTTAATAAAATTGGTTCTACATGTGTAGGGACAATTGCTTTTCAGCTGACATATGGTCAAGGGGGAAAAGCTTCAGTTTCATTATGGCCCGATAGCAGGCTATGTTGCCATAGTTCCTCATGTAGATTTGGGAGAGTAAGGATAAAGAAGAATGTCATCAGTAAATAATGATAGACTGTCATTGGCATATGCTGCCATCTTATCCACCCTAAGACCTCTAATGTTTCATTTAGAGATTTGGAGGGGTTCTTCGGATAGGGCAAATATGAAGGGTGTTTTTTTTATAGGGCTAATTTTCTTGGGATCATAGGCAAGAGAGCCATGGGAGTCATGTAGCGAGTGTGGTGCTGGAAGGGACCAGCATTCCTTGAGGGTTTAAGCTAAAAGCGTGTCAGTTTTGTTCTGTTGTTTTTGCTTTGTCTGCTTTATTTTTTGCCAGCCCTTTGAATTGATGTCTAATGTGGACAACTTGTTTAAGTAATGATACCAAGGGGGTCTTGGCAAGTTCTGGTTCAAGTGTAGATAAGTTTGTTTTGAGCTGCTTTTTTAAGGACGAGAGAATCTTTCTTTGTCAGAGAAGCAAGAGAGATAAAGTGTTCTCTTATAACTGATTTGCACAGTTTCCAGATCATAGACATAGATTTAACAGAGCCCATATTGTCTGTGAAGCAATTTTGTAAATGGTTCCTTGAGAAGACTTAGTGGATTCACATTTTAACTGTCATAGAGGCCATGTTATCTGATCGTTGGCTATACTTTCGAGAGAAGCTAAGGGTGGTGAGTTGGAAGACAAGGTGGAAGCAGTGTTTCATGTCAGGGAGAAGGATAAGTTACAATTTCCTTCAATAAAGAGTAAGAAGCTGAGAGTAATGGGAT